AAAGAAATTAATTTTCTTCTCTAGAGGCTTATGAAAGCCCCCGTCTACTGATTCCATCCCTCTTGCGTCCTCTTCAGTGGCCAGGGATTCACTATTCTAGAAAGAGCAGGTGGGATTCTGGGTACATGACCTAACAGAAAGGTAGATGCATCAGAGAACTAAAAACTGACCCCAGAGAACTGTGGGTAAGACCCTTCCCGGAGCCAGCAGTAGCTGCCATGCCCCACTTCTGCTTCTGTCCCCTTTCCAGAAGCCTGGGGTGGGGGGCACAAAAGCATATGCTGGTGAGAAACATGCAATATATGTTTTGAAACACCACAGAGAGAAATAGGAGACAAGAACAGCTCTGCCAACTTTTACCACAAATGGGAAAAAGAGTCATCAAGGAAATCCCACCACCAAGTCACAGACTGCCCTGTTCTGGGGCCCTCGGAGCACGGAAGGCAGAACTGACTGACTTTCCAACAGCCCGGATTGCTGGACCAGCCGTCTTGGTTCCCAGATTGGTAACCCCAAGGCCACAGTCCAGGCCGCTCCCCACTATCACCCCACCCCAACGCCCTCAATAAAGGGATAGCAGCTCACAGTTCTGTAACTGGGAAGTTTCACTCTTTTCCTGTCCTCACCTGAAGTCTAGAACATCTCCAGGTGTGGACCACATGCGACTGCAAAGCAGTTCCAAGCAGCAAGAAATCACAACCAGATTCTCATGGAGTCTACTGAAAGACAGAGTTACAGCATGAAAGCCATCAAGCCAGTATAAATAATGTTTCTTTGATTTTTTTAGTTAAACAAATTCTGCGTTTTGGAAACTCATGAAAATGTGTTAAAAAAAAAAAAAAAAAAAAAGGAAAGGAAAGGGCCTGATATCCTCTTGCCCACTTTACCTTCAGATAGCTAGAGATGGAGCAGCAGCCTGTTTCCTCAGGCCCTGCTGTCTTGTTCTTATAACTGTTCCTCTCTAGAAGACGAAATAGGGAGCAAAGGGAGGGCAGTCCGGTGAGAAGAATGTGCAAATCAAAAGCAAACTGGAAAAGAAGAATGATATTAAGGGCAGGATGAGGTTGGAGTGGAGGAGACTGAACTCTGGCTGAGTACGCTTGGGTGTGGGAAGCCAGGGAGGTGCATCACATGGGTAATAAACGATCACCCCTTTTTTCTGGTCATGTCCCATACCGTGAGATGGCCAAGATCCTGCCAGAAAGCTACAGAGAAACTGCTCTCTTCCCTTAGCCTCCATCACCAGTCACTGATATAAAAAGCCTCCCTCCCTATGTAGCCAGCCCAGACTGGCCTTGAACTCATGGTGATCCTCCTGCCTCAGCCTCCTGAGTCTTGCATGACAGTGTGCACCACCATGCCCAGCAAGACGAGAGATATAGGGTTAAACCTGTCAGCCGGGGGAGCATTGAGTGGAGGAGATGCCTCACCTTGCTGCAGTGGTGATCATGTTCAGCAACCCTTCCAGATTAGCACAGTGCATTCACTTCCACTGAAGATGTGAGTCTCGGTGAGTCTCCCTCACCCGTTACTTTAGCTGATCTGCACCAGGCCTGCTCCAGAAGTGTGGTTGCCAGTTTTCAGGCTCACCCTGGATGTGCACATGTGTGTCAGAGCCCATGGCATGCTCAAAGCTTTTGTGAAATAGTAGTTTCAGGCACTTCAGTAGAGCCAGCTCTTTCTCTGACTCTCTACCCTTTTCTCCTACTGAGTCACACATTTCTTCTGTCTGCAGGAATTCTTTCACAGCCACAGCTGTATTTATTGGCCGTTTGTACTTCTTCTGAGAAGTGTCTGCTCATTTCATTTGCCTGTTTTTGGATTGGGTCTTTTAGTTCGGAAGTCTAATTTTTTTGGGTTCTTTATATATTCTAGATGTTAGTCCTCTAAGGAATGGCTGGCAAAAATGTTTTCCCATTCTGTAGGTTGTCTCTCCACTCTATTGGTTGTTTCCTTTGTTGTGAAGCTTTTAATTTGATGTGAATCCATTTGTTGATTCTTGTATGATTTCTTGTGCAACTGGGGTTCTGTTCAGAAAGTCCTTGCCTAAAACTAGTTCTTCAGGAGTTTTGCCTATTTTATCTTCTGGCAGATCAAGTGTTTCTGCTTTAACATGTAGATCTTTGATTCATTTTCATTTTAGTTTAGTACATGGTGAAAGATTCAGTCTTCTGCAGATGGATAGCCAGTTTTCTCAGCACCATTTGTTAAAGATCTTTCCTCCAGTGTATATACATCCTTGATGTCCATGAGCCCAAATCTCCTCTTCTAAGTATGAATGAGTCAGATTGGATTGGGAATCATCCTAACGGCTTCATATTACTTAATCACCCTTTAAAGGCCTCTCTCCAAATATAATCACATTCTGAGGTACTGAGGGTTAAGAATCCATTGTAAACACTTTGGGGAGAAATTCAGCCCCTAAGAGAAGCTTGTCTTCTCTCTTCCCCTTGGCCCCTTTTGCCTACACTGCTTATATCTCTAAGAGTATTTCTTTAATCTTTCCTTAAAGAAAGCAAGTTATTTAAACAAAATCATCTTTATGATGTAGGCAGAGCATGTTGTTAAGGGCTCATACAACCCAACGCTGAGTCAATATCCTCATTTTTAGTACCTTATACCACTGTTTATACTAATTTCATGGCACATATCCCAATATATTGTAGTATTTGATGGCTTAAAATGTATCTGTCTTGGCTGGGGTTGTGTTTAGGTTGTATAGCACTTTCCTAGCATGTGTGTGGCCCTAGGTTCAATCCCCAGTGACAAAGGGGAGGAGGACATACTTAGATATATAGATCTGTATCTCCCAGTACTCAAAAAGAACAATACCTGGCCGGGGATTTAGCTCAGTGGTTCTGCTGCCTGTCTCGAAAGCGCAAGGTCTGGAGTTCGATCCCCAGTACCAAAAACAAAAACAATACTATTTGATACTTTCATTTCAAAATACTGAGCAGTAAAACTCGGGGACTTTCATAGGGCATATCCAATAAAACTCTTAGAGATATTTCTTATAGCCTTGTTATTCTTTTTTTGGTGTGTGCAACAAATATTTGATACATGTCTTTAAGGCACTGTTTAGTATGAAGAGACTTGGAGTTTAAAAACGTAAGCTCCCTGTCATAAAAGACATTGATTGTTAAAAGTCACATGTGTGTGACTCATCACAACTCACATGAATTAGTGAAAATATCAAGCCCCACAGCTTCGAAGACTGTTTGTACCTTCATTATCAAATGTGTAAGAGGATCTGGACTCAGGCACCTGTTTTGGAATCTTGGGTGGCCTCTGGCACATCACCAGTTATCTATGTGCCAAGCCTCCTCAATAAAAGGGGGAGATTAGTCATGAGTTATAAGGTGCTTATGAGCACACAGAAAAAGCTAAAGCATGTGAACTGTTACGATATTCAAAGTTAGAAATTAAACTGTATTGTACTTTCAACAGGTAAATGGTCTAAAACCTTTATTTTTTTTTAAGCCTGTACAGTATAGTCTAGTCCATTGTATGTTTACTATGAAGGATCAGTGGGCCGATAAGCTTGCTAATAATGCACAGCAGTAACAATCCATTTCTCTACATATTATGCACGTCAAGTACCATTAATGCCCAGAACCTCACTTTTGGCCAGGATTTGGCTTAGTGGTTCTGCCGCCTGCCTCGCAAGTTTAAAGTCCTGAGTTCGATTCCCGGTAGCAAAAAAACCCTAACTTTAAGGGCTCTTCAAAGAAAAAAAAAATGCTTATCAGTCCATGTTTGCGGTACATAACGACTACATTCATGGTGGGGAGTTGGTAGAGGTACATAACATCTCAATTCTTTCTACGTCCCTTTCCCTCCCTCTATTGCTAACCATCAGCTTGAAGGATTTTGCTTTGGTTTTTCTCTTTAGTAATATAGTGAGCTTTATCTTTCAGACTAAGAACTCATACAATAACTTTAGAAAGAGGAAGACTTAAAAAAAAATGTATATGCATCTTCGAAAAATGGCGGGAACGCATCAAGGCTTGAGTAAGTGAAGCGGCTTTCAAAATGAAAAGCCATGACCCCGACGTGATTCGAACACGCAGCCTTCTGATCTGGAGTCAGACGCGCTACCGTTGCGCCACGAGGTCCTGCTGGGCTGTGGCTCGCGCGGTTCCTTAGGACTGCGACGCCAGGCATTTCTTCCGGGCTCCCACCCGCCCGGCGCTCTCTCCCTGCCTCGCGCTCTGTAACCGCCGGGGCCGATCCCGAGAGCCCCGCTTCTCCTGAGAGCCTCTGCCCAGGTCGGGACCTAACGAGCAGAGGCGGGGAGCGAGGCTTCCCGTTTAACAGGGCCCACAGAGTGAGAGGAAACCGGCCCTTCCTCTTCTTTATCGGGCTATTTCCGCTCCTGGTGGCCCCGCCCCTTCCCGCCCCGCCCGTTAGGGGCGGAGACTCCGGCTTCGCCTCCCCTCCCCCGCTGGCGCTCTGAGGTTTTTGAGCTCGCTTAATCCCGCGGAGAGCCACCGCGCACGCGCGCGGGGCCGTGCTGGGGGGGGGGGGGCGGGGCTGGCGCGTGTGTGCCCTCCCTTCCCGGTGCTTGTGCCATTGATATAAAGCGTTTTCCTTCAGAGCGGCCTCGCCGTTGCAACAAGCATTAAGCTTTAAAGGTGATCGTTTTGAGAAGACATGGCTGTACACTTATAAAGATGTTAGTCTTTTATAGGTGATGAGGCTGTTGTACACTACTGGAAAACTAACCTTGGGGGTGTAAAAGGAGACAACCTCCCCGTCGGGGAATTGAACCCCGGTCTCCCGCGTGACAGGCGGGGATACTAACCACTATACTAACGAGGAGTCGTGACCACGTTCTCTCTCAGGTGCCTTTTCTGGGAAAGGTACGATTTCTCCCAGGCTGTTTATTCCATCAACCATCCGGATTGGTATGCTTGTTACCTTCTCTAGGAACCTTAGACTCCTTTTTTTTTTTTTTTTTTTTTTTTAAGAATAAACGAATCAATGAGAATATGTGAAAACCTGCTTCCCATTTTTGTGTTAGCGAATAGTACGAAAATAGTTTCCCAGGGCTCTTTACAAAGCTTTCCAAGTGTTTTTATGTTGCTGCCCCGAGGTTTTTTTGTTTGATTTCATCGGGACCAAGGAAGGGTACGTGAGTTGGGGAGAGGTTTAACTTCATAAATTAACCTTGGCCTTTGGAAGTCGAAGTTCCGGGTGTCCTGTAGCCGCCAGACGCCTGGTACAGCCGGTCTTGTCCCAGCCTGGTGCCTTTTGAAGCAATTCGTGAGCTTTGGTAAACCCGGTCCCCTAAAAACGACAGGAAGAAATGGGTAAGTGGTTAGTATTAATACATTTAACACCAAACAAGAACATGCCGTTGATGAAACACAGGAAGAGGACAGTAGACGAATGGGGCCCTTTGTGTCATTCGGAGCCTTTTCGTCCTCAGTCTTTCTTTCTTACAACATTTGCGCATAGCGTTCCATCATCTCAAAAACAACATCACGTGGCTTTGACAATTATACATAGGTAACATAAATTGAACCAGAACTTTAAAAAAAATTTTATTTTTATTAGTACATATTTGCATGATTACATTCATTGTGGGGAGTTGGTACATGTACATAACATCTTTTTTTGTTTGCCAGCAACAGATTTATTTATTTATTTTTAAATTGTCAAGTTAATTATCATAAATACAGATTAACAGCCAGACTAATAGACCAAAAAACATAGAACAATCAAGGTAAGCTTGATCTCTCTCTCTCTCTCTGTCTCTCTTTCTTTTTCAAGCCAGGGTCTTGCTATGTGTTCCAGGCTGGCCTTAAACTCAGCATGTAGCCCAGACTAGCTCTTTGAGATCCTCCTGCCTCAGCCTCCCAAGTGCTAGGCTTACTGGCATGTGCCACCATGCCTGGCTGAGGTAAACTTTTAGAAACATTGACCATGCTGGATTACAATAACTTTCTCTCTCTCTCTCTCTCTTTCTCTCTCTCTACTAAGTTTTATGTTTTGCTTTGACTCTTTCTCTAAATAAATGTATTTATACAGCCAGAGACAAACTCGTGACTGAAGGAATTCGTTGCAGAACTTAAACTCCTGTGTCTTCAGGCCTCCTTTCTCCCGGTGTGCTAAGAAGTAAAGCTGCTTTGTGTGCGGTTTGGTGCCAGGGATGAGCTCAGGGCCTTGAGCACGTACAGCTTGCGGTCTAGCGCGGACCTACACCTCCAGCCCATAATGTATTTTTTATAGATCATCGATTACATGATATTTTTCATCTGTTGAAAAGGATAATTTGTTAATGCCAACATAAATAGCAATTTCTGAAACATGTTTTGGGATATTTTTTCACTCCTAACTAGGGCAAAAGCCTCAAAAAACAAGAACGAAATGAAACACTTCAAAGTCCTGGAGCTTCCTTCCAGTGTTCACCCTCCAGTAATTCCTGGGAAGCCCAGAGGGCACTGGGTTGATGATAATGATGTCGCTTTCAAGGCTGGATTGAAAGGATTTGCCCCAGGACTCTCCCTGGACAGAGTTTCAGGGTGGCAGGAACTTGGGTCACCTGAATCACTTGTTTGTTCCCTTTCTCCACATGGGAGAAAAGGCTTAATCTTTGTTGCCCAGAAGAGCCAACATCCCCTCCGTACCCTGGTGAAGCTGCGCGTGCTCAGACACACATGTTCCACTGCTCCTCCTTCCTCCCGGGGAACTAAGCAGCAGCCTGAGTCAGCAAAGACAGAGCGCAGAACCCAGCACCTGCTCTCATCTTCCTAAAATGGAAAGGAAAAGAGAAGCACATTAACCTGAACAGGCCAAGGGAGCTAAGGGATTCCTCTCTGTCAGCCCTGGGAGGAAGGAAAGGTTAAAAATGTGACTGGTGTGCTGAGGGCACTGAACTTTCTGTGGAGGGAAACAGCTTGATGGCGATGAATATAATGGAAGGCTTCATATCTTGCTCTGCCTGAGTAACTGATAGCTTATCTCAGCTTGGGAAGTGATTCACATCCATTTCATCTTGTTAATAGCCCTGGGAGGTCAATAGGGCAAGTGTTTTTATTTTACAGGTGTCTAAAGACAATCTTGTGCAGGGTCCACATAGATAGAAAGGTAGGAAAGGCCAGGAATCAGCCACGCCTTGATGGTAAGTCCCCTGCAATTTCCACCCTGCTGCATAGTTAAACATAGAAGTATATCCATCTTTGACACCACATTTGTGGCAGTTTGCTTTCAATTACTGTGACAAATACCCGAGATAAATCAACTTGTAAGTGGGACAGTTTTATTGTGGCTGACAGTTTCAAAGGTTTCAGTCCATGGTTATCTTGGCCTTGCAGTTTTCAGGCCTGCGGGAAGGCAGAACACCATAGTGAGAGTGAATGGGAGAGGAAGCTGTTCACATCACAGCAGCCAGGAAGCAAAGAGAGAGACAGGACAGGACCAGAGTTCCAGGATCCCCTTCTGGAGCACACCCCCAATAACCTAACTTCCTTTCAGTAAACCACACCTCCTAAAGGCTCTACCACCTCCCGATAGCTGCATAAACTGGGGTCCAAGCTCTTAAACATGGACCCTTAGGGGACACATCCGAACTATAGCACTACTGTAAGTTTCTGAATGTGACTCATTCAAATGGATGTGTAGCAACATCTCATTGTGGTTTTAAGATGCCTTTCTCTAATAATTGAAGATGTTGAGCATCTTTTCCTGTACTCATTAAAGGACCCAAATCTTTTGCCTACTTTTAAAATTGGGTTGGTTTCGAATTGAATTTTGAAAGTTTTAAAACATTCTGATAACCAGGCACTGCATCAGATTTATGTTTTGCAAATATTTCACCCAAGCTGTGTCTTGTCTTTTTGACCTCTTAAAGGACTTGTTTTCACCCTAAAGGTAACAAGAAACCATGAAAAAGTTTTAAATAATGCATATGAAACCTAGTTTTTTCTTTCTTATGTTACTTTTTTCTCTATTAGTCTCATCTCTTCATTTTATCCTTTGAACACAGAAACAAGAACTTTGGTCAGTTTACTACTCAGCCATTTTTTCCCCCTTCCCTCCTCCCTGTAACTGAAGAGCCTAAATTACTTGTGCGTAGTTTTGGATTCTATAATCATTTATTTACAGAAACATTATTTACCTCTGTTAAACCTAAAATTTTCCATAAACATTAAAAATTAAACTTCAAGAAGTTATGTCATGTTTTGAGGCTAGAGGATATACTTAGATGAGTACCTTATTAAGGAGGAAATAAATGACTATTGGGGATGCTCATACTTCACTATTTCTGAGCCCAATTTATTTAAACAATTAACCTAAAGTTAAAACTGAGAAAGGGGCTGGGGATTTAGCTCAGTGGTTCTGCTGCCTGCCTTGTAAGTGCAAGGTCTTGAGTTTGATCCCTGGTACCGCCCCCCCAAACCCCAAAAAACCAAAACCACCCAAAACCCAAAAAACAAACTGAGAGGCAAAAGTCTATCCCCATCCAGTTCAGTCAATACTTTCTCACTTCATTCAAAACAAAGCAAAAACAAAAACACAGAAAAGAAAACAAAGCAAAAACCTTTATGATTTATCCTCAATGCCAGGCATGAAGCTAGATACGAGACCAAAAAACAAGAGAAAAACATTCACTTCCTGTGCTCAGGGAACTTATATTGCATGGAGGAGGTGGACATTTTAGCTGGTAATTATAATAACGTTTGTTAAGAGGTATGGGGGAGTCATAGTTCATGCTTATTGAGAGCCTGCCGTGGGAGAAGCCCACCATCCAGACCCCAAAAGTATGGGCTCAGAGACATACAGCACAGCAGAAGCAAAACTTCAATGGCAGTTCTGCAGGAATGGGTGTGTCCAAAGGCAAGCATACCCCAGTTCAAACGAGCAGTGAACTTTGTATCCTTTAGTTGGAAAGGCCCTTTCCCTGTCACACTGGCTGAAGTCAAGGGGGTACAATCTAAGTTCCCCTCAGTTTTCTGGTAAACCCACCCTTCTTCGTGCATTCCTTTAATTGTGGAATGCTATTTATCAATTATGTTTTTTTAATTTTTGGTACCGGGGATCAAACTCAGGACTTTGTGCTTGCCAGGCAGGCGTGGCGCCACTGAGCTAAATCTTTGCCCCTCAATTATCTAGTTCTAACATCTTGTTTGGGGGTTCCCTGGGTGAGGCTCATTCTTTTGTAGTCAACTTCTCATGCTCAAAATAACTGCCCTAATTGTCAGTAAATTTTTGTCCAAACTTAAAGCCAAATGAAAATGGACCATCTATTTCTGTTTCATACACTGTTATGTGCAAGGCTCTATTATAAGTGCTTTTCAGAATAGTAACCGTTTATTCCTATTAATAGTGTATTATGAGTTTGGTACAATAATTCTCTCTCATTTACCACTGAGGAAACTGAGGCACAGGAAGGTTAGGACCACAAAGGCAGGAAATGATGAAAGGCTGTGCAAAATACCTTAGGGTTACAGATAAGGAGGGACTGGGGAGCTTGAAGTCCTCCTTTCTAGCAGGGCCCCCAAGGGGTGATGAACTTTGAAGGAGAAATGGGGGGAAGTTACTCAGCACTCAGGAAAGAGGGAACTTAGGCACTCAGTGCCTAAGGATGCATAAGGATGTGGGGACTTGGGAAACAGTGCGAGACCAAAAGTGACTCCATTTTGCTAATGTGAGACCAGAATGACTCCATTTTGACCAAAATGGAGCAGTCTCCTTTGTTCTTTCAAATTAATGATTATATGTGCTTAATCTGGGACAAAAGACATGATCTGTAACTCAAGATTCCTAAGCTCATTACTCAGCCATCTGTTTGCCCTAGAAACAAGTGTCCCGGGCCCACTATCTATAGGACAATCTGTTCACGTGCTGACTATCCACACAAGGTGGTCATGACCATGAGTCAAGATGTCTGCTGACCATCAGTACGTGACAGTAGACCACTAACCTTTGTCCCCATTTTTCTTGTAAAAACCTATACGTAATCCCCTTCAACCCCCAATGAGCCTAGCCAATCAAAATTCTACACTTCATACTTGCTAAATGTTAACTAATCATATGGCTGCTAATGACCGAAGCTTGCTGTAACCTCTATAAAAACCCTGCTAATTTGGAACTCGGGGCTCTCAATCTCGATCCGCTGTGTCAGTGACAGTTGAGAGTCCCTGCTTAAGCTTGAATAAACGACCCTCGTGTGCTTACATCGGAAACGGCCTCCTGGTGGTCTTTGCGACTTCGTAAACTGGGCACAACAACAGCAAGTAGAGGGCTGCTGCTTAGGGACCAAGGTGCCAGGAGTCAGGAAACAGAGTAATGTAAAGTTGGGGACAGTTAAAAAATCCCAGGTTGGCCTGGAAGTGTACTCAGTCACAGGGTGCTTGCCCAGCTCTCCAGAGTCCTCGCTTTGATTCTCAGCAGTGGGGGGCTGCAGGGATCTTACAGGATCTTTTTGACACTTTCTTTACCCAGGTAAGGAAACTGATCTCCTGCCAGCCAGGTGGTAGGCTGTCTGTGGAGGCCTGGGGACCCCACCTCTTGGCCTCTGCTTCCGTAGGGCTCTTTGCCCCTAAGCTGGGCAAGGCTTCTGGGGAGCCGCTGCCTGTCACTGGTGCCAAGCCTCAAGGTCAGCGACTCCCTGTTCCTGCCATTTTTCTGTCTTGCTGACCACCTGCTGGCCTGTCCAGTCAGCAGCTGTGCTGACCTGTGTGCCCTAAGTCTGTCCCCTCCGGGAGGACCAGGGGTCCAGGTGAACCACATTCTCCCTCCCGGGAGCCTTCAGGCTGACGGAAACGACACATTGATTCTGACTGTTGCCTGGACGCAACAATTTCTATTCTTTTCTTTGGTCTTACCTGCTTCCTCTTCTAAATAACAGGAAATTTCCTGGTTTTATTCTTGCTTCAAATGTGCAACTTGATTTCAGATCTGGTATGCAAGTTGTTGCTGTCTTCGGAAAACAACTGCCTGTGGCACTTTGGAAAAATTTTAAATTTTCCTATCTGTGATGAACTCGTGATTAGCAAAGTTTTATTATCAGATTTATCTTTAAAAAATCGACCTGAAGATCTAGTAAATGGGGGGGGGGGGAATCCCCGCACAAAATAACATACAGAATCCCATTTTTTTTGCATATATAAATACCGGAAAAGTCTGGAAAGAAACAGATGAAAATAAAAAGTTATGTCTGTTCAAACGTGTTGGTTTTTGTTCTTTTGACTTTTTGATATTTTCTAAATTTTCTACTCTGTGTATTTGTTATTCTTGCACCCGGAAAAGCAAGCAAAAAATACATTTTGAAATTATTAATATCAGGCAAAACAAAAAGCTCAGA